TCTAATTTAAAAGCAGATGTTTACTTTCACCAACTGTTTTGTAGGTTTGAATAATCACAACATTCTGTATTAGCATTAGTCATGATTTGAAATAGTGCCACAGTGTTTCTACAGAGTGCAGCACGGAAAACTATTTTACTTTTTAATAAGTCCAAATGTATTAAACCCCAATCGCAGCACACCTGTGCACTCAACAACGTTTAAATTCTCCAATGTTAAATATTTAAACCATAAAAACCTTTATCAAAGTATAATTAACAATAAAAGGGATGACAATGCCTTAATATTTTTATCTTTCGTTCTATACCCACACAATCTAACATAAATTATTAAGTGAATAATAATCGTGCGTGCTATCACGGGTATTCAAATGCCTCTCAATTTGTCATTAACCCACCACATTACTGTCATTAAAAGAAAAAACTCCAATAATACTAATGCGAAACTTTATTCCACCGAAGCTGTGCAACAATACCAGACTAACATAATTACGCCAAAATTGATTAAAGCAAAAATTATAAGTGGTAGGTTTAAGGGAGAAATAGTCTATCCCAAGAATACTGATGATTTCATCCGAATTACCCACTGATCTTAAGCAACTACAATTTCCTTAGTGTCTTGCTTTCTTCGCAATCACCATTATAAGGCACTAGGGCAATCCCTGACTATCGTCGGTTAAATGTAAAAAAAAACATGCTTTTCACACAGACAGATGTATTTTGTTAGCGCAGCAACGTGCGGCGGGTAACTGCTAGTCTTACTATTATATATGTGAAAGTTTGTGTGTTTGTTTGTTTGTTTGAAGTTCAATCACGCATAAACCACTAGAATGATTGGGCTGAAATTTGGCATGATGATAGCTTACATTCCCGATTAACATATAGGCATATTTTTATCTCAAAAATCCTTTCGGGCTCCGCCCCAGTGGCTCTGTAGTCCCCCATGTTAACCTTATGAGTATTCATATTTAAAGGGAATCAAAGAATTTAGTCAGCTGTTTCAACTAAACAAGTTGGTTCTATGATATACAAAAGCATTTAAAAGTTTTACCAACAGGGTGCAGCACTATAATTATTTTTGCATTTATGTAAAAGTAAGATTGTTTACAGTTATGTTTATGTTATTAATGTCATGAATAATTTGTGATTTTTTTGTGAATTCGTAATAATTTTGTTTTTTTATTATTTAGGTGAAGTGGTAGAACATTATAGCTATTGTAGATGTGTAATACCATTAGTATACCGTCAATTTAAAGAAGCAAATTTTATCAAACTTTGTCCTCCCCCATTGCAAACCCAAAGCTTGAGTATAACTGCAATAAGCATTTTAAACTTATATGCCAACCCCGTACGGGTACTCTGCTAGTATTTACATATAAAAAAATTCAAAGTGTTTTTCTTCTATTAATTTATTTTTCAAAGAGTCAGGAATTGTAACTATTTTTTTGTTTCATTTCATTGGTAGATAGTAACATTACTCCACCTTTGCGTGACAGCTTCCGAGTAAAATATGACCCTACAGAATAGTATTCTATATTTAAGCGCTCAATTTCTTCCTCTTTCATATGATGTTCTGTCAAGATAACAATATGTGCTTTTATTTAATTCAAAGTTATTTGCAAAGCCTCAATTTTGGATTTCAAATTGTAATGGTCAAATTTCATTGGGGGTACATTTTAATTATTTTAAGGCCGCGAATTGCTCAAGCGCGCTCGGCAACAATAATCGGAAGTAAACATGTCCAGTTGTCCACTTGTCAAGTGTCCTAGTTCGTGACTTGGCCGCTGCGACCTCGGGGCGCTGACGTAGCGGTGGTGGGGATTAGCCGAGACCACCACCGCAATCTAGGTCCTCTTAAAGCACTTGCACGCATTGTGGCGCATTTCACTTCGCAGAGGAAGCCACAAATGGACATTTCAACGCATGTTGCCACAATGGACATACTACAACCACAAGTAAATTACGAACTAAATTAACTGTTTTTACATGATTCTAACCTCATAACAAACACAAGGCAATTCAACAGTGCAATGGCTTTTGCGTCGCTTTCTGCTCCACAAAAAGAGATTCCGAGAAATGGGTCTTACTGTCTTAAAATTCAGGGAGGGACAAACGCATATATATATTTCTGACATACTACCGCAAAATGAGGAGTTTCCTTCATAATAATTAATAATAATTTTAACCTTCTTTACATTTGGTTCTCAAAATTGAAACTATAACAGAATTGGTAAGATTGCAAAACAAATCTTAAATTTTTAACTAGAAAAAATTTGCAATGTTTGGCTGTATGATTTCAGATCTGATTCGTCGTTCTCCGTGCTCAGGCCAAGCCGTGTGCACGTTCCCATTTGTTGTGTTATTGATTTAATCATAATTTTACAATTGTATTTTATTGACACATCTGAAGCAACTAATATAAGACTCCAACGGAAGGAAAACCAAGATATAAAACAAGAAACACTGTTAATTTTATGTAACACAAAAATTGATAATTTTAAAAACATATTTTGAATATTTGTCTTTTTATATATTGTTTTTTATTGTAGTCTAAATTAGGGGCTATGGCCCCTACAGGCCACTAGTAATGATTAAATCAATAACACAACATATTACCAAATGGAAACATGCACACGGTTTGGCCTGAGCCCGGAGAACGACGAATCGGAGCTGAAATCATACAGCCAAATATTGCACATCTTTTCTAGTTAAAAAATTGAAGATTTGTTTTGTAATCTTACGAATTCTGTTATGGTTTCAATTTTGAGAACCAAATGTAAAGGTTAAAATTATTATTAATTATTATTAGGGCAACTCCCCATTTCGCGGTAGTAAGTCAGAAATATATCTATGAATTTGTCCCTGAATTTTAAGACAGTAAGGCCCATTTCCCGGAACTCTCTTTTTGTGTAGCGGAAGGCTGCACTTTACTTGACGTCCTACACTCATTCGAACGAAAATATCGATCGATATATCGATTGCTTCATTCGATATATCGTTTGGTTAGTTAGGTAAAGCTAACCTAACCTAACTAACCAAACGATATATCGAATAAAACAATCAAATGAAAATATCGAATCGAAAAAACAATATAATGAGTGTAGGACGTCAAGTAAAGTGCAGCCAAAAACAGTTCTTTTAGTTCGTCATTTACTTGTGGTTGTGGTATGTCCATTGTGGCAACATGCGTTGAAATTTCCAATTGTGGCCTCCTCTGCGAAGTGAAATGCGCCACAATGCATGCAAGTGCTTTAAGAGGACCTAGATTGTGAGAAACAATTAACACTCAACTCATTTTCCAGCGTTCTTCTAAAGATAGGTTGTAAAACAGTTTCTGGATTTCTTTCACAGCTAGGCCCTACATGACGTTCTCTTTTGCATTTCTTAAGTCTGATGAATTCCTGGACACTCTTCCACGTCTTGCAGGTCTTCCCCTACCCTGTCTAGTTACTTCACTCATTATAAAAACGGAAAAACAAAAAAATTAAACACAATTCATTTTGAAACATTATTTTACCAACATTGACTTTCAGAATAAATGTAAACATTGCAAATAAATAAGGAACAGCTGATAGAATGCAGACGTTTTTCAGTCCCCATGCATTTCTTATGGTGGATATTTTACGTTATATCTCGTTTTCTGGTAACTTTATGGGAATACTGCTATTTTTTACGAGTCCCTGGGGTCAAGACCTTTAATTTTAGACCCCTCCCACCTTTCTGCGACTTACCAGACGTCCACAATTTTCTGGTAAAAATTTGGTCATACAGAATTATATATATAGACTAGCTGACCCGGCGAACTTCGTATCGCCTAAGTTATAGGTTTCCCCTAAGACAGACCGATGGAAAGAAAGTACCGTTACGTTTAATTTTCAAGATGATCTCGTTCGCATCGCTCAATCACGTCCTGGTTGAAGTTCGTTCGCTACGCTCACTCACCTTTGGGTTGGAGCTCGTTCGCTGCGCTCACTTGCCTTTAGGTTGGAGCTCGTTCGCTACGCTAACTCGCCTCCAGGTTGAAGTTCGTTCGCTACGCTCACTCACCTTTTGGTTGCAAATTAGCTGTTGTCATAAATGTAAAAGAAATAATAGTGCTGCACCCTGTTGGTAATCCTTGTAACTTTAATGCTATTGAACATCATAGAACAGAACCAACTTGTTTAATTGAAACAGCTGTTAAGATTCATTAATTCCATTTCTCATAAGGTTAACATGGGAAACTCCAGAGCCACTGGGGCGGAGCCCTTTTAAGAATTTCGAAACGGGAAATAGTTTACGTCCGATTCGCATACCTACAGAATTTACACACCAAATTTCATTACGGTCGGTTAAGTCGTTCCGGAGGAGTTTGCAGACAAACACTGTGACACGAGAATTTTATATATTAGATATTCTATGAGTAATTATGTTGCATTTGGAATATAATAATATGATTCAGGATCTAATTTAATTTTTCGCCTTTAAAAATGTTTTTGTACGACAATGCTTTTTGAGTAATTTTCCACAATGTGAAATAACTAACTTTAAGTTTAGTTAGTTATAAATAATAAGGATCAATGCCCAGGAATAATGAACGACAAACTATTTGTTTTAATTGGCTCGATCACTATCAGTGTCTAAAATATTTCTTTGATTAGACATGTTTAAACAATAACATCCATGGTTGCACTAAATCAAAATCATACAAACAAACAATTAACACTGTATCAAAGTGATACACACAATTTTTTAATGGGGTATGTCGCACTGTGACATTGATACAACTAAAAAAATGTCCCCTGGACAAGGTCAATCTCAGCACTGGCTGGTTTGGGCTAGGAAGGAGGTACCCATTAGTGAGGGGATAGGGATCGGTGCGCACCCGAAAAAAGGGCCACCAAAAAGGTTGTTGCTTGAATCAAACTGAGAGAGACCACAGAGACCTTAATCAGATATTGTATTTGTTTCTTTAGATCTAGAATTACGAGATTGAATATTTGAGGGTTTTAAATTACTTACAAGGTTTTCCCTGAATTTTCTCATTGAGAAATTTGTCATGGGATAAATTTACATCTCCCATGTAAAATTCCATCAGTTCTAATAAGCTTTTGTGCAAAAGCCTCTTTCTCTTACGGCGGTGACTTGTGGAAGATTCATCAGCAGTAACACCTTCCGCCACAGCTGTAGGCTCCGTCTCTTCACCCATCAGAGGAGTACTAGACCTGGATGTATTTAAACAAATATTAGTTTTGCGATGGAAAATATAAAATATATTTGGACTGGTGTGATATGCCACACCAGCAAAGTTAATGAGTGTGCTGTGGACAGTTGTCTATGATACCAGATGGTGGCACTGCTATGGTAGCCAAGTGTGCAGCAGGTAGCTCTTGTAGGTGTTTTAATATTATAATGAGTTCAGTCACTTTCAATACAACATTTTGTGTTGTCGATTTATGAGAAAATGAGCCCCCACTCCTCAGGTTTGTTAACACATCCATGAGTAAGCCTACTAACCAGTTTTTGTGGGTTTGCTTATGGTCTGCTGTTACACTTTTTAGACGCATAAATTAGTTAAGCTCAACAATCATTGTAAATTGTTGATGGTTTAAATAGGTACAAGGAGAGTAGAATTTAAATTCACAATGTATGCTATCCCATAATCTGAAGTATTGAATTAAATATAACCTTCAATTTTTTCTGTTGATGTAATCATTCTTATTAACACTGCCAAAGGATTTGAATTATTACACTACAGGACATATAATATGTGTCCGTTAGCATGATAACTCAAGCAGAAATGGTCAGAGTATGATACAAATTTGGTACAAACCTGTAAACCTATGTTTATTTGAACGAGTTCGCGAACCAGCGTGGTCGAATCATGGGAACGGGGTTTTATGGGAGGATTTATGGGGTAAAATTTTGTTTTTATAATTTTTGACCAATTAGAATAGATTTTTTGCCAATTTTTCTCTAAACCATTTTGAACAGCTTAAACAAAATAATTTAGTACATTGGAGTGGTTTTGTAAGGTTATTGGTCACGGAGAAAGTTAAAAAAAGTTTTAAATTTTAAATTCCCATGGTAATCTTATGGAGAATAAGTAAACTGCTGTAGTTTGCTTGTTTATTTAAAGATATATTTTTATCAAACTTGGCAAATTTATTTATCTTATACGAAGCTTTTAATATTTTACTAAAAAACACTCTTTATTACACTCTCTGTACCAGCAAACCTAGGTACTCAGTAAACCTAATGTTATTGAAATATATTTAATTAAAAAACCAAATCAGGCAAATGGAAATTTACTTAGTCTGCAGGTTTGCAGTGGCGGGGATATTCACCCCTTAAGCGTCCGGAAATTCACTTAGTCTGCAGGTTTGCTGTAGCGGGGATATTCATCCCTTAAGTGGGACATCCCACAAGGAATTAAAAAAATATTCTTAAATACCAGCATAGGTTAAGTTTAGTATAATATTAAGGTCTTTGTTAGTAAAACTCATTGCCGCAAACCCAAACTTAAACGGAAGACCAAGTCGAAAATTACAGCTGTTCAAAGATTCATTAAATTTGCAATGCTATTATTACAATACGCTACCTCCTCAGGAGAGCGCTAGAAGTCAGAAGAAATCATTAACTATACTACTAGGTTGATATGCACATCAAATTAAAGATCTTTATTAGTAAAAAATTCAATTATTTTTAATACACACCTTATAAATTTGAGTTGTAGGACAAGTAAAAGGTCTTTTAAACTATAGTTCGGCCGCTTAGAAAGCGACCTCCTCTAGCATTGGTTAGCATAAGCGTGCAGGTCGATTTCTAAGCAGCCGAACAATAGTCCTAACTATTTGAAAAACGAAGAATTATAGATTGGTATTTGTACTACTATTTAAGCCTTTTAGAGTGCTGCGTAGCTATCATTATTGGTTAATTTGAAAACAGGAATCTTGGAAACCTCTGCAAGCGCTTCTCGCGGTGATGTTCAATCTGAGGTAGAGTGCAACCTTAAAGTTAGGCCAACATGTGACCTAAGCCCTCAGGGCTCGCACTGTTTCTGGCATTTAGATACTTATGACCTACACCGCATTCTGGTCAAGGTCGAGCTTCTTGGCGCGGAGAATACCTTGGATGTAATGTGACACACAAGTTCAATTGTCCTCACCCTCTGTCATCATCGGTATGACCGTGTCCACTGACAGCAGTCCTACGAACTGTTGAGCCTCCAGGTAGGGCGTTCCCAATGCTGGCAGTGGAAAAAAGTATGTTCCACGTCATCGGGAATGCCTGAGCAGTATATGCAATTGGGTGACATGGCTTTGCCCATTCTGAACAGGTACCACCCGAAAAAGCCGAGACCCGTCAGCAATTGGGTGAGGTAGAAGTTCACCTCTCCGCACCGCCGATTAATCCAAGGTTGGACTTGCTGTATCAGTCGCCTTCTCCGGCATCCCCGTGTCTCCTGTTCCCAGCTCTCCTGCCACCGCTGGTAGGTGTGAATACGTTCCTCTATTCGTGCCTGGTCCTCCCCACGGCGCTGATAAATTTCCTTCCTCTCCGCCCCCAAAAGTTTGACGGGGATGACTCCAGCAACCACCAGGACAGAAGGTTCGGACACTGTTCGGTAGGCATATGCTACCCTTAGTGCTGCCTGACGGTGCACTCGGGCTAGCCGCATCCTATATACCAACTTATTGAAAGCGTCTGCCCACACCACCGTACAAGAGTACAGACTGGACCGAAAAGCCTTCTACGGATGGACCGAGACCTTCCGACATTGGCCATCAACTGGCTAAGAGAAGAAACCACCCTAGCGGCCTTGTCTGCCGTACGGAAGATCTGATTCCGCCAGCTAAGCTTGCTATCCACTGTTGCGAAGAGCACATGTACTGTCGTACTGTTTTTTATTTTTATTTTCTCTCAGAAGTAGGAGGGGGTGTAATGGGTCAAAATTATAGAAGGGTTAAGATTTTATATTTATTATTTATTTATCAGTAGGCCTATTCCTTACCTCGTTGGTGATAGTGGTTAACCTATCTTGGTAAGGAAAATAGCTGTAGTAGGCCGTCAATGGCCTAGCCTAAGGTTAAAGTAGGGATAGACTAACTTTTGGCAAAATCACAAAAGACACTGTTTTGGAAGTATACAAGTCACGGACTAGCATTGTTGTGTACAAAACAGGCGATAAACTGTTTTTTTAATGGAACCCCTATACTGTACCTAATATAAACTTTTGGGAGGAATGGCGGTACTTTCCTGTTAAAGGGAACATTCATTAATATCGATGATTTTTTTCTTGATATATCAATGTTTTTGTTTTCCGATCCATTACAAATTGACAACTAACTGATCTTGTTTAGGCTAAAATAGTCTGTTATATGGATTAAGAAATGAAACTGTTCTAAGCTAACCTAACATAACCAACCAAACTTGCTGTACCATTTAAACAATTTCATTTGGGTTTGAATATAAAAGGCAAGTTATAAACACAGAATTTTTAAATGTTACAGCAAGTTTGGTTAGTTATGTTAGGTTATTTTTTTTAGAACAGTTTCATTTCATTAATGTTTGTTGATTCTGAACAAATAGTTTTCGTAGTTGTCAGCTGATATGTTTCAATTTGTTAATATCGAAGTATCGAGAAAAAAATCATCGATAATAATGAATGTTCCCTTTAACAGGAAAGTACCGGAATGGCCACAGTTGTTGTGCAGGCTAGGGTGATGAATCACGATCACGAATATAATATTTTTTTCCTTTTAGCGAATTTCCTATATAGGGAATACGCTATTACCGTAGTACTCATGGTAAGACCTGGATCGGGACCGATTTTTTTTTTTTTTTTTTTGAGGTCCCTAGAGGCCAAAAACACCATCCGTTCAAATTCATATATCTATATATATTTATACTAGCTGTAACCCGCGGGCTTTGCCCCGTTTAACTTCTTAATTTTCAAGATTATCTCGTTCGCATGGCTCAATCACGTCCTGGTTGAAGTTTGTTCGCTACGCTCACTCACCTTTAGGTTGGAGCTCGTTCGCTACGCTCACTCACCTTTGGGTTGGAGCTCGTTCGCTACGCTAACTCGCCTCCAGGTTGAAGTTCGTTCGCTACGCTCACTCACCTTTTGGTTGCAAATTAGCTGTTGTCATAAATGTAAAAGAAATAATAGTGCTGCACCCTGTTGGTAATCCTTGTAACTTTAATGCTATTGAACATCATAGAACAGAACCAACTTGTTTAATTGAAACAGCTGTTAAGATTCAATAATTCCATTTCTCATAAGGTTAACATGGGAAACTTCAGAGCCACTGGGGCGGAGCCCGAAAGGATTTTTGAAATAAGAATATGCCTATATGTTAATCGGGAATGTGGGCTATCATCATGCCAAATTTAAGCCCAATCCGACCAGTATTTTTCGAGTTTACTTTTTCCATACACACATACACACATACAGCAACCACCTCTTTTTTATAATAGTATAGATAGATATATATATATATATATATATATATATATTTATATATGTGTCCGTTAGCGCGATAACTCGAGCAAAAATGATCCGATTTTGATGAAATTTGGTACAAACGTGTAAACCTAAGTTTATTCGAACGAGTTCGCGAACCAGCATGATCGAACCATGGGAACGGGGGTTTATGGGGTTTTTTATGGGGTAAAAATGGGTTTTTCCCATTTTTGACCCAAAAAACATAAAATTTTGCAATTTCTTTTCAAACTATTTTGTAGAGCTTAAAAAAACAAATAATTTAGTATATTGAAACGTTATAATGCGCCTAATGGTTACGGAGAAAATTCCAAAAAATTGTAAATTTAAAATCCCATGTTATTCTTATGGAGAATAAGTAAACTGTTGTAGTTTGCTTGTTTATTAACATTTTTTGCCCAAATTTGGAAAATGTTTTTATTTCTTACTAACTATTACAATTTACATAAAAAACACTTTTACCCTCCCTGTTGCAGCAAACCTAAGTATGTGTTAAACTGATTCTATTTAAATAGGGAATAAATGTGATATTTTTAAGGAGACATTTTAGTGTAAATCCAATCAGGCAAATGGAAATTCGCTTAGTCTGCAGGTTTGCTGCGGCGGGGGTATTTTATTTTTGTCTTTATTCATTATACTTTCACATTACATGAGTCATAAGCTAAATTCAAAATTGCTTACTGCTAATTAAATACATAAATAACCCCCGTCGCAGCA